GGGGGGGGGGAAGTGGTTGGCCAATCGTGCAAAGCCACGATTCAAGGAAAACCAGGCCGTTCTCGGCGCCGTGAGAATTCGGGCGCAAAAATAACGAAGCTGGGAATCAGACGTGCTCCAGTGACTTGACCCGGGTCGTGTCCGTAGTCGCAGAGCATTCGCCCGAGCAATGGATTGACGTATGAGTGGCGGATTGTTTTTCAGCGCTGTCGGGTTGGCAATGCCAGCTGGTCCTCTCTCAGCTGACCCGTTCCTGGCAGACAGACGACAGTAGGCGTGGCCCCGTGCGCGCGTCAACCTGAAGATGGAAAATAGAGACGCGGAAAAGAAAAACCTAGCGAAGACCAAAGGTCGAAGCGGTCCGTATGTTCGAATGGTGGAGGGGACGTGAATGACCACCGAAATGATGAGATGAGCGTACCTACCAGACACCATACTGTAACAGGAGACGGCTGGACACCTATTACTTGCCCAACCAAAAACATCACCTTGAGATGGAAATATCATATATCGTCGTAACCGACTGAGATCGCAGACGATGCCGAAATAAACAGTTACCTTCCATTAGTTCCTCCACTCCCGAAACAGTGAAGCTACTCGAACCTGGGAATGGATGCTCTACCAGTCTCATCGCGACATTTCTTAGAATAACCACTCCAACAGAACTGAGAATTGGGGTGGTGCGCCTAGTCTAGGTCTATACGATCACTCCCTCTCTCAACCGGAAAGGGTTGTGAGTTAGGTCTTCAGTTCCTCTGTCGAGATCTGGTCAGTGTGATTTTCGATACCATATCGATAAGCCTAATACAAAATACCTAGTTTGAATTGGATTGTATCAGTATTATAGTAATACTCTTGGTATCTCCGTACTGGCACTAAATTTAAACTAGCCTGTCCTAATCTAGACTAGTGTAGAATAACTCTTTTCATTTCGGCCCCCACGTAATAGCTTCCCGCTCGGTTCTAGGCCCCAAACGCTTCTACTAAAGTATTATAATACCTCTAGTGCTGGTGTTGTAATAATTCCTTTCGATAGCCGAGGTATCGAAAGCCACGCTGGATCTGGTGAGCAGATCTGGTGAGTAGATTTGGGGTTGACTCTGTCAACGTAGGCAGAATTGAGAGTGGAAGTTCTGTTGGACATAATCCCAGCATGATCAATTGGCGACCCAGGTGACATACTCAGAGGCTACTAATTCCTGTGTCGCATGGAGCCGGACTGGGGACTTTGCCACCCACGTGGCGGAATAAAAAGGCCTTGTGAGGAGACTCGGCCGTGACAACTGAAGACGTCGTATTCGTAACCCAGGGATCGGTATATGAGACCCGATCAACCATGCCCAACCAGGTGGATGTTGTCAAAAGCGATGAATTAATTCATCCATGGACGCAACGGCGAACGAATCTCGGCAAGGAGCAATCGTGAGGGCACCATAGCCGTTGAGCAGATCCGCAATTGTTTACAACATGCTGCATTTCTTCCTGCTGTGCGGATCGAAGGCGACCAGGCGGGCGTGCGAGCGTGGCCCTTTCCAAAAGTGCCGTCTGGGCCTGGTTCCGATGGCTGTGTCAAGCCTGGTTCTCCGTTTCCAGGTTAGCCCCGTTTCCGTGTAAACATAGAGGCTGAGGCCGCTTCCCCGCCCGACAAACAACTTCTGCCTTCTCTCCTCCCCCTCGGCCTTGTCCATCGTATGTTGCATTTACTCTTCCGACCAGAGATTGTATTGACAGTCATTTGCGGCCAGATCAAAGGCGCTTGGTGACCGGCGCGAAACGAAAACGACCACGACATATCAGCTTGCCACCTAGCCCCTTTGACCTTGCCATTCCATTTTTGATCATGTCTCGATCTGGAACTACCCTCTACGTCACGGGCTTTGGTCATGGCACCCGTGCCCGTGACCTTGCCTATGAGTTCGAGCACTATGGCCGTCTGGTCAGGTGCGACATTCCTGCTCCCAGAACTGCGTCAAGCCGTCTGTAAGTCATGAACTGTGTCCCCAGCCGTCCACGCACACTGACGCCGTGGCAGCTTCGCTTTTGTCGAATACGAGAGCCGTCGCGATGCTGACGATGCCTACCACGAGATGCATAACAAGCAGATCAGTCGTGATGATGTCTTGAAGATCGAGGTACGGAAGTAAAACCCCAACACCTCGCCGAGCACATTGTCTGACTACTGAACGTACAGTGGGCCCGTACATCTCCATCCACCATCTGGCGATACGAATCTGGCGGTGGCCGTCGTGATCGAACTCCTCCTCGCCGATCTTCTCCTTCTCCTTCCCCTCGACGTCGCGACTACTCTCCCCGTAAGGGTGATCGCCGTGACCGTGACCGAGATCGGGAAAGAGATCGGGACCGAGATTACGATGACCGACGCCGCTCGCGCAGCCCCGCGCATCGCGACCGTGATCGAGACCGGGACCGGGACATAAAGGATGACCGCGACCGCCGTGACGACGACCGAGATGGCGCTGCCAATGGCGACGACCGGAATGGTATGATGGAAATTGATACCGATGCGGCCTGGATTTGAAAATGCTGACACCCGTATCAGCTCTGGACCCCCCTCCCCCAGCTCACGATGAGCTCGATACCGCGGAATGATAAGGCAGCATGATCTGCCCACACCCACCTGGTGCCAAACCCGGCGTGCTGTTTACTGCGAACGAACAAGCAAGTAGGTTTCTTGCGATTGGGCAAGGCCACAAGTTACTGCGTTTCCGAATGGCGAGAAGGCGCTAGGTTCCCTTCGGATTTTTCGTCCTTGGCATCGTTGCTATCATGATTCAATTGCAGAACTTGCATGACCTGAGAGCCTCAGGCGTAGCAGTGAGCGGTGGGTAAGATTGACTTGACATGGGATTAGATCGACCTCGAGCGAGCGGCGCAGGCTCAATCCTGTACAACAGCCGGCTTCTCGATCGTACCGCCGTCCTCACTTTTTCTGTTCCTCTTCGAGACGTCACAGCAGCTCTAGTATCAGCCTCGTTCCCGTTCATCCGCAATTCCCGTTCATCCGCAATGATGCGCCGCATCCCCGGCCTCGCATCTTCCTCGTCCCCGCCGCCGCCGTCGTAATTCCCCTTCTCGCCATCTCACCACCCCGTATTCCCGGCGCAATTCCTGGGTCCTATCCTTCCGCCTCAAACGCACGATCCATCTTCCACGAGCTCGTTATTCGACGTTCAGCAATCCGACACTAGCGGCACAAGACGCCTTTATTCCCGTTGCCCACTATGTTTTGACTTGTCCGAAGTTACGGTGTCGCGGCCTCCCTTCCGTCTCCCGCTCCCTTATCCGACATCCGATCCTATTTCCTATTTTGTTTATTGCCGGTGGTGGGCTCGTCCCTGCCCTGATGATGATTCTGGTTGACGTAGCAGACACTGCACTCCACTCGGCGAGGTAAGTCTTATAGCGCCTCCATAGGTCACTTGTCCCCACGGACGCAGGTTTTTCGTTTAAATCCATGATATCTTAATCGCTCCCAAATATTCATGGAGTTTACTTCGATGCTTCCACTCTTGTCCTTGCGAATGCATCGCCCATCACCTGTAGGATTCCGGTGTTGAATGTTTCCCAGTGTTTGCCTTCTTGGGGGTACAAGCCTGTCCTGGCCTTGTGACCCGATGACGCTGCTGAATCTGATCTAAATCCCAATGCCCTCGGTAAAACACGGTCTCCATCATTACCCCCGAGTGCTACGGCTTGTGCTCGCTCAACATCCAAGTAAGCAGATCGACTTTGGTAACCACTGCCACCGGCTTCAGAGCGCCGCCCTTGTCGCTTGATTCGCGTTCTGTGACGATGGCCGCACTCTGCCACTCGAAGAAACTTTGTTCAAAGCGCTCAGCGCCGGGTCCATGGTGATCTCTACGAAGTGCCTTCCCCTTCCCTTACCCTTGCTCTTGGTTTTTGCGCTCATGTCGCTCGAGAACTTCTGCGGCTCCGAGTCCTCATTCGCGGACGTGGTCATCAACTCTGAGAAATCTGAGCTTCCACAAAAGTGTGCACAGTGAAAGAACAACTGTCAACCACAACAAAAAGGGAATGTATCTCTCCTGTTTGGCACGTTCGGGGGGGGGGGGGGG